GGCGTGGCGAACCACATAGGGTCTCAATGGCTAGGCAGTGGTACTGACCCGGATGACGGCAGAACCGTCTACCGATTTTCAAAACATTGTTTCGTGTGACTAAAATTCGCGAAGACCAGAAGTTTTGGTTGAGTTTGAACCTAATAACGGATGTCCCAATACTTTCAAACACCCGCATTTGAACAACAAAGCCTCCCTGACCGCTCTTTATGTTTGGGCCACAAACCCAGCTCACAGGGCTGTCGCATAGTTAAATTTGCCTGTCTCCACCAGCACGACAATGGATCCTACAACAATAACTCGAACTTATCAGAGCGCTTATTCCATAAGTGACGAGGAACTGGGTATGAACTTAACAGAATAATCCAGTGACGAGGCGTCATTTCTATAAACAACTGAAACCATGAATCAGACCATAACCACTTTCCACTGGAATGCTCAAATATGGGTACTGGAATCCTGAGCATATGACCGTCATCAAGGAAAAACAAGGGGCAGGGCCTAGTGGGCTTTGAGCACAAGTTAACTGGGCTGAACTCAGCACATACAAATTCACGTGAGAAGGGTTATTTGTGAGTCTCTGACGATAACCATTGAAAATAGGTCAATAATGAAGGCACATAGAAGAGGATAAATTTGTTACCTTTCTCTTGAGTTAATTAAGATCACACCGCTGAAATTGACTTTAGTTTATGGTTATCAGGTTGATTTGTTCGAATGCAGGTTTTGGTAAATTTCTTGAATTTAATTCAGCTGTTCGCTAACTTCATACCAGACTTGTGCTTAGCTTACAAACCACAGCCTTTTAACATGTTTTCTTGTCATGGTCTCCCACAGGTGACCATTTTTTCATAAAGCTTCTGACGTATTTTAGGCGATAGGACCCATTGCTTCCATGAGATGTATACCATCGCATACCATCTCCATTTTGTAGAACTGCACACGATCTATGGGTACAGACAAACGAATTGATAGACAACTAAATAAGTTTGCTTAACTCGCTTATCGTCCAGTAGGATCGATTTTGTTCGATGATCTGTGAGGCTGATTTCGAATTGCAAGTGTATGTGCTTGTAAGTCAACAGCATCCCCAACGCACACTCTAATCTCGTCAAAATCTACTGTTATTTGGCTCAAGATATCATCTTCTGATTCTAAATGTTATTTTAGAGCGCATTGTGGGTGAGTGTTGCAAATCACCGGCGCTGATAGCAACTGAAACCATTGCCTGTTCATCGCACCCAAAGGACATTCTTTAGATAGCATCGCTGCTTAGAATGAAGGAACTTTCCATAGTGAAACACTGTGATCAGATTGGTGAATAATAAAAGCTTTTGGAAAATTAGGGCCAGATGGTGTGCTGGGAAAACGAAGCGGACGGGAAAATGAGAGCATCTTATCAGATAAAATATGCATTTTGTTTGAGGAGTGCGTTATGCCTCGCATAACCCGAAAGAATCACTTGGAACGCAAAATGGGGAACAGATGTCCCGTGATATCGCGTGCTCCGCCATATTGGTTATGAATTAGCTTTCGTTGAAAAACGTTCATTAATACAGATATTGTGTTTTGATGAATTGATCAGATTGATTCAACTGAGCCAAGCACGATAGGCTACCAAATGCATTTGTAATGCGCTTTGACTTTTTGATAACGTTGGCAATTTTAAAACTTCATTCAAATTACAATTTAGTTAACGTTCACTCTCACAATATTCATCAATTAGGGAATACAAGATGTTTGGTGACAGCAGAAAATTATCTAAAGTATTTGAAAAAGCACTAAGATGTTGGCAAAAATTCTTAGTGCGTAAGCCACCTGGAAGGACTTGACTTTTATCACAATAAACGTCTGATATGTTCCCTTAAACACTACAACAATCTCAACGAACTTTATTCCCTGTGAAGTCTTTTCTGGCAGTTTGCTAACGATTTTTCCAAGAATGCAGGCCTACATGTTACTTGAGTTCCAGACATGGACGTAGGATGCAAGATTTCTAGGTAGAAAATCTATCAGATTGAAGGTTTGTAAACTTGTAATCCATTTTGCGGGGAAAGCAGCACGCACCAAGTCAAGTCGACTAACAGTAAATTGACTTTACTTTTAAAATAATATAACTCTGAGGAGAATTCATAAATTATCAAAGGTCGGGGAAAATAGTTCTGCGTGTTGAAAATACGAGTGTAAAGAAACAAAGTAGTTTTGGGTGGTGGTGGCCAAGTGGTTAGTTCACCAATTTGTGACCCCGTGAGTCCTGGGTTCGAACCGCTTCACCACCGCCCGTCTTCCCAAGCACCTTTGTATGGCCGCTGCTCCCCTTCCTGAATGTTGGCTGTACGTTAGTATATTCAACGAATAAATAACGGAGCAAAAAGACATTATCATCGTTATTAGTTTTCCCCTTTAAAGACCGTTATTTGAGCTTTTGAACGAACAAGGAGCAAAGTTACCCATCAATTGACTAGCAAAAAAATTGCCTATGACATCCTCGAATTCTGCGCTTCTTTCTTAGACTGCTTACTTGTTACAGCAGTGGTTCATGTTGCTATAGTAAGCACTTATCTTGATGTTGATAAATTGATGTAGCAACAATTAACTGCCTTCACATCTTTCGTTGAACTGAAAATGACCTGCATCAAAGATTAGCTGACTTATCTAAGTTGGCAGCCCCGCATTTTACAGAAGACCTCCGTTATCAACGATAGCTACATTGATTGATACGGCTAAACAATACCATCACTCCCAATGTGTATCATGTATGTCGTAGTTGAATAGCAATAATCTCCAAATGGATTCATCATTTCACGGTACGTGGTTCTGTGGGGATATGCCTCTTATACGTAGTTCTCCTTCCAATTAGGTCAATCGTTCTTAGATTGAATTTTCATATACAGCGTTATTTCTTGATTTCTTGGTGATTATTAAGTACCAGTTCAAGTGTGTTCTACATCAAGACAGGGCATTAAGTTAGTGCAATGTGTCTTTTATTCAAAATTCTTTTATATTTTCTGATAACACCTTGTGGGGTCTATGAACTAAACAATTTGTTTCAAATATGACTGTTATAATTCTAGGATTGCATATATATGAAAGCCAACTACCTGAGTCACAGAGAGTTTAAATTCAAATGGTTGTCAGCATGCATGTAAAGGTGTATATATACACACATATATATATATATATTTCATATCGTCAGCTGTATGCAATCGCGGTAATAATGAACTCAAAATGAAGTGATTTGCTGGCGCCTCGATTACCTGGGGATTTTGTACTTTGGCTTATCTTTTATGTTCTGTGGAAGTTAAAACAAAAATGAACCCGCTTGACAGTTGGGGTAAAGTGACATGAGTTCGACAGGTGTTGGTCAAATCGACCGGACCAAACTCACACTGAATATTCCATTTCGTCTGTTCACCGAGCTTGGCGAACAGACGAAATGGAATTCAGTTCACCCGAGCTACGAGAACCGATTTTCAATATTTTGTCACACTGATTATGAAAAATGATTTGGGATTATTTCATCTCGGTTTATCCTCATTGTAAAGTTTCGTAACAATACTTTCTGAATATTAGTGGCTGATTGAACATTGAATCCGAACGGAAGCGGTTCTTAGTCTGGAACCCTTGAGTCATAGGAATTTCTCTCTGACGGCGGTCTTCACTCAAGTATCAACTATAGATTTTAATGACACACAGATCACATTTAAATCAAGTGGTACGCTGCAGGCGGCGTTTTATCAAAGCGAATGCCTTAGAAAATGTGAGCAATGAATCTACCTAGAATCTGTATTCCAGTTTCAATTCCTGGAGGAGTATGAATTACAGTCCGAGGGCCGAATATCTGAGTTTTCAGATCCATTTTGAACATTTGGTGGCTATCAAAATGCAGTCTGACGATTTGGTGTCTTAAAAAACTTGAGACCACACAAAATCAAAGGAACACATAGAGGTAGCTCAAAGCTGAATAACTCTCAGTAAATAACAATCAACTAAACCGGATGTTAGACGACTGAGCAGAGAACGTGAATAAGGAGGACTGACTACCCACACGCGGATAGCAAGAGCGTACAAAATGGGGTTTGGAATGGCAGATGCGCCAAACTTGTTCGGAAAGTAAGTTCAACTAAAAAGCTGCGAACGCACATTTGTCTACACCAAATGGATGCACACCTGTTCACGTAGCCGTTTCCCGGGACTGTCACAACAAACTGTCACAGTAAATGAATGAACAGAAGCTTTTCATATTCTAATTTTAAAGTGAATTCGTCGTGTATATAGCAAATGAAGCCTGAACTGGAAGGCTAGAAATCTCTGGACAGCTGTTTCGACCTGCTTGGGTCTCATCGGCAGTGTGAATTCACCGACCTAACTGGAGATCGAACCCGGGATCTCATGGACAGAACGCAAGCATCCTTCCCACTCGGACACCGGGCAGCTGATCAGACTATTTTTCATTTTCCATTTACACGATATAGCATAACTCATCTTTGCGAGCTTGTTGCGAGTCACACGCTCTGCTTACCTCAGCACTAGCCTCCAGGGTTATAACTCGGTTGGAAACCTTTTTATTCCACGCAACCTATCTGATAGAAGAGAATGTAAAGTTAATTTATCCCAATTATAGTCACCTGACAATTCAGTTGTGCTCGTAAAGTGATATATACTTCCGCGTAAAAAGACGGAATACACAGTATTCAAATAACAGCAAGCATTTATATACAAAATGTGATATATTTCCAAGTTCCCTCATCAATCATAATTAGCGATACACGTTTTGTAGATATTATGTTGTCTACGATGTTGTTAGGGGATGATTTATTTCCGTTACTGGTTATTGGGAAACTCCACTCAATTTGATAATTCATATTTTTTCCCACGGAGTGTATTCGTTTTTATTAGAACTGTACATATGCTGCATAGAATATAGTCGATAAACAGAAAACCGGTAAGCAAGCCCTTTTTTGTATCTCCCCTCTCCCGCCGCGCCCTATCGATCACAGGGAGTGTATCTGACCACAGTGTTAAAAAATTCACCGGCCGCTGCAGCTGGACTCAAAGTGGGTGACGAGTTGATCCAACTGAACGGCTTTCCCGTAGCCAGTCTATCCACACACACAATCATGGAATTGGTTCGTTCTACCCCGCACAACTTGCATGTCGCCTATCGTCCACGGTGAGTACGCATATTAGTAGTAAATTATTATTGTTTTCCTTCTAAGTTCAAGTTCTGTGGTTAAACGACTTCTATATGTGTGTAACGCACTTGGATTTACCCGTAGAAATATCTAAGTCCGATTTTCGACGCCTGTCAAGTTCAGACAGAATTCGTATCACGATGAAGTCGTTCAATTAGAAGTCTGGAAATTGGAGCACATCAACCATTCTGATTTGACTGGTTACGCAGTAGCTGTCCGCAGGTATCACTGGTCAGTTTCAAGCATACCAAAAACATCCACATAAGGAGGAATGCATTTGAAGAATATGTGGTTGAAAATAGAGAGAGAGAGTGGTCAGGTCAACGTGTACGGATATGGGTAACCCGCTGAAGTGTTTGGTACACATAAACAATTATCTAATTGCTACACAATTTCATGACGGGTGTGTGCGCACGCGAATGCGGAGAACGTAATATTAAGCCTGTTGTTTTGTGAATGGACTGTCATTTCCATCCCAGAATGCATTCAAAATGAGAAGGCTATACGAGCTGAAATGTGTTCCGGATGGACCCGGAAGCAGAGTAAACGTGAATAGTTTTTTCGTTGGATAAATCGGAAACATTCGCTGGACGTTTTTGTTTCAGTCACAAAACACAGTTATTGATGATACTAGCGGTCTTATGAGCATTCCGGTTATAAACGGAACACACTCTGCAGTAAATTAGGTTAGTTGAGCGTAAACGCGTGGATACTTCTCCGGGAACAAATAAGAAGGTAGACCAAATAAAAATGCTTCAATCTGACATGGATCAAACAGTAGCTGGTCTGTGGAATAAGCCAGTTGCATGAGGTCATGGAAGGCCTCGAGTCATGCAAATAAGTTCACACCGGTTGTGAACTGACCAGAGTTACCTGTATTTTGAGCGAAATCGGTGTTTATTTATGGTTAATTTGAATAATTATGAAGCTATCTATATAGATATTCCTATGGATGTTGTAAAATAAATAAAGTGATCACATTAAGCGGTATTCTGCCAACTGACTAAGATGAGGTTACGCACAATTAGTAGAGTGGCTCGNGGCTCGTGTTTGGGTTGTCTTCGATTAAAAGAGAGTCACGAACCTCTCAAGCGCACTGATTACGTCTATAAGCCAGGTAAGCAATTTAAACTAAAGTAATAAAAAGTACTCTCTACCAATCGATTTGTAACAGATTTACTGTCTTCTGTTAAATATACTCATATCGGTAGGCTTCTATTTTTTCACCTTAGCACATCTTTCAAGTTTCACTAAACGTAATTGAAGCGGACTATTATCAGGAAAATTCTTCTAGTTGAATTTTCGTGGACCACAATGAAGACCTAACACTGAAGCAAATGTGGTTAGGATCGAATCATTATATTCCGTCAAGAAACGTCGTATCAACCTATTGATAGTTTCTTCGCTTTTTATCTCTTTGCCATCCCTTCCCAGGAACAGTAAAACAAATCGATAGTTGAAAACATTGAAATCTCTAGGGACAATAAAAATTATTTATTTCGCATGATGTATTTCTTTTGGGGTATGCTAATTAATGATCAGCCACTTTTTGTCATCTGATTTAAAAAATGGGGATTATGAAGTAGAAAGATTTGACTAATTAATAAAGAACAAAATATTTCTCCCTTTTTGCATTTCCCAACCACAGCACTGATCAGAATTTGAAATATCGAAATCAACATCTGTTTTGTAAATGTATTTATATCCACAAAAAACTGTATAGTCAGAAATAAAGATGCTTCTCGTTGTGGAGCAAATATTATATAATAAAAATGTTTACATCCTTGCTTTGACCCGGCTTACGGAAAAAATGGTCTTGAATGTCTGCAGTCTGCAGCAGATTGTTGGGTATGTTCAGAACTGCCTCTTTGGTAAAAATCAATGATTCTGTTCGTGATCTACTAGATCCACTTGCTAACCGGAATATGTTATGGAGATGACAGACAATATTATGACATATTGTTGTCGCTTTCGGCTTTGGGACGGAAGCATTTCTGATAACGGAATTATATTTAGATTGGATTTCATTTGAAGACCGTCCTGGGTTAACTATTGATTTTGAAAACGAGGATCGGTAGAGGTTTTAGTAGCAGAGTGACAAGATCACAATCTTCATTTTCATGAGTTTGTTTTAGTTATATTCAGAATTGAACAAAAACGTATTATGCAATATTTAGAGTTGCCATATTTAAACAAATTATTGGAAAAAAAACGCCTAATAAGGGTATAAAAATACACTTAAATGTTAACAGAGGCTCAAACGACTTTTTGAACAAAAATAAAGTGAGGTTTTCATCGTCATTAAACAGTCATTTGACAAAATGTCAATTTAGAAAAGAAATCTTCAGTTCAGGAAACTCATTTGTCTCACGTTGGAAAATGTTTTAGGACGTTATCCCGTGAATCCCCATTAATCAACCTGACTATTTGTAGCTGGTCAATGGGACTAAGTGTTAGCTGGAATGCAATCGATGTGATCTGAACGGCGATATTGAAACTTAAAACTGGTAATAACTAATAACGAGCTGTACATCAGAGACCATTGGGAGAGATGCACCATCCGGATGAGTCTCCTCCATAGAATTAGGAAACAAATGATGGGTTTCTAACTTTAGTCTGGCATTGGAAGTTTATTCTTCTATCTCAGGATACATCAATCAATAAAAAGCCACAGTCTACCATATCAGAGCACGAACGGTGAAATGTTGGTGGCACTACAATTCTATCTTTCAGAATATACTGTCGGACACGTTTTCAGATGTAGGAAAGCAATACTGCTCGCAAACGTCATTTCTTTCTATGAGGATGTTCATTTATCCCACCCATATTTCACGCTACAAAATAGACGTTATCTATAAGTTCCGATTGCCTGCTGCAGTTAAGGAGAAGTGTTACGCAAATTCGGAGACCAACAATCGTTCCAGTTGAAACATTTGAAACTGTCACTCTTGATTGATAAACATATAAAATAAGTAGCGGATGCTGATACCGGCATAAGTTCAGGCGAGTATTATAATCCGTCTACAATGAATAACTTATTAGAATACGAAACTCACTAAACAGAGGTTGCAGGGAATCAGCAATATGGTAAACTTCGGTTGACTATTCTGGCAGAAAAATGGTTGGTAAAGTAGCTGAGTGTTAGCTAATGAGTAATGATATTGTCCTGTTTTCAGATGAAAGAAGTGGACTCAAATGGTTCCGTTTCAATTTGACATTGTGCACGGGTTTAGAGAGTAGATTATATCACATATTGCAATGTGAAATTATTCCAATACTTATATGCCTTCTGTTCATATGCTCCCGAATTGGTGCTAATAAATGATTAGCAGTTCACTGCTGCTAAGCTTTTGATGAATCGAGCCCAGATCAAATGGAATGTGATCAGCAGCTGTGACCGTATTTTCTTCCTCTAACCCAGGGTCTTCGTGACCATGATGCCTATTCACTGTCATGCAAAATTTAGCTTGTTTGCGATGTAAAAGTAAGCAGGTTTTCTATGAGATAACAACCCTTTCGAGACCAGTGTTTAGATAAGCAGTGTCGAATACTCTCAACACCGTTTAAGGGTGCGCACACGCCAACCAGCTCCTCGATACTCAAGTAGGTACGATACTTGTACTTCAGCACTAAAATTCCAGGCTTGATACTAAACTGAGCATAATAATTAATAATCTCTCTACTGACTAATTCCAAAATGAGTGAACCGCTGACTGAAGATATTCCAAAGGTGAATTCATCGTTTATATAGAAAATTAAGTATGGAATGAAAAGCTGGAAAGCACTGGATAGCGGTTTCGACCTGCTTGAGTCTCATCAGCAGTGCGAATCCATCGACCGAACTGGGGATTGAAACCGGGACCTCACAGGCAGAACGCAAGCGCACTACCAACTCCGACACCGGGTAGCTGATCAAACCGTTTCTTATTTTCCATTTACAGGATATAGCACAACCGATCTTTGCGACATTATTGCTATATCGTGTAAATGGAAAATAAGAAACGGTTTGATCAGCTACCCGGTGTCCGAGTGGGTTGCACGCTTGCGTTCTGTCCATGAGGTCCGGGGTTCGTTCTCCAGTTGGGTCGACTGATTTGCACTGCTGTTGAGACCCAAGCAGGTCGAAACAGCTGTCCAGTGCTTCCTAGCCTTTCATTTCAGGCTTCATCTGCTATCTATGTACACGATGAATTCACCTTTGAAATTGAATCAAATAGTCCATTACTCACATGAATGAAGACATTCCATTGAGGTATGTAGCTTTGTCATAGATGAGTCACTGTAATCACAAGTGAAGTCAACAACGTGCTTCATTGAAACTGTATAAATGCTTGAAAAAAAGTAACATGCATATATACCCAGCAATTCAAGTTCCACTGAGCAATGAATGTAAAATTATAAAAGCATAACACCGCGGTTAGTGGCAGTTTCCGATCTGCTGTTGCGGCCACGGACGCGAATCTTCACTGACTTAGCCTCAACTCCCATTCAAACAACCACTGACAATGTACCTAGTCCGACATGGCAATTAATATTTTCATAAATTCGCAATTCCGGTGATCGGTATTGGCCAGAGGTGAGCACAATCTCAGTGTAATCTGACGTGTTCAAGGAGTCGGTTTGTGTAGCATTTTTGATGACATGGTACACAGACATTGTAAATCCCTCAGTTATTCAATGGGTGCGTTTTGGAAACTGTGATTGGCAATGCGTATATTTGGCAGTTTTTTCTGAATACTGGTTTTTCTCAATCGAATGAAACGACTGCATTAGAAAGCTTATTTCCTAATTAATGCCATATGAATAATTCCCCTTACCAATGGTTCGCTATACAAGTGAGGTGTCTTTTATTATGGTATAAAGTTGACGGTGATATTGATCAGCCGTAATCTGCAGATCGTCTATTTTAATGAAGTGTTGCTGTAGTTAATATTTCAGCGGATTAAATCATTATGCATCGTACGCAAAAGAACAGATT